GTGTGTGTGTGTGTGTGTGTGTGTGTGTGTGTGTACATGTCTTTGTATTGGTGTGTGGACATATTTTGACATTAAAATATATTTGTACCTGTTAGGTTAAGTTTAACATGGAGTCAAATGTTGGGCTGTAGAAATTAATGGAAGTCAATGACAAGAGAGACAAGTGTGTGTGTACACATTCTTGCTATATCATAGGGACCATTTTCCAAAAAAAAACACAGCCTTGTGGGGACCCAATACTCCTCATGGGGACCAAAACCTGGTCCCCAGGGGTAGACTGGCATATACTATTGCCCCTTTTCCACTAGTGCCACTTAGTGTAGTGTCGGTACGGTTCGGTACGGTTCCAAGCCATTTCCATTGGGCCTGATCCATGGAACCGGCACTTTTTTTTAGTACCTACTTCATTCTGGTTCCAACCGGCCCCAGCTGACACCAAAAATGCGACGTCAGAACACTGTTCGTCACTGATTGGCTAAATTCTTGCAAATTTTTAAAATTTCAAAAGTTATTCATCAAATGTGTTTCCATCTCTCATTTTGCCCATTAACTTTTTTCAAAAAACCTAAAAACCACCTCCACCAACCGCCCAAAACACACCTATTGGAACCGGACTGGAACATCAGTGGAAAACCAACCGGTCCGACCCGTACCTAGACCGAGCGTTCCGACACTACACCATGAAAAAGGGGCCTACCGGGATTTTTCTCGGTGGGCAGATGGATTTGTGCGCCGATGGGCTGCCARCAGTTTGCTCCGCCCCCGTGGAGGTGCTGCTGTGCTTGGCCCTGTGGCCACGCAGCGTGCTCTTTTTTAAAATTTTCCCAGCTATTTAGGATTAGTAAAACCTTACAAATATAAAAAATATTTTTGAAAAACTAAGAGTTAAAAATATAAATATATATTTTACTTAGTGCTGGGCAGTATACCGGTTTGTACCGAATACGTTTTTTAATTTTTCTTATGATATGAATTTTCCGAATACCGACATACCGACTTAAATAACCTTAACACATTCAGAATATTTTGTCACGGCCGCCAGTGAACTGTTTCCCAGGGGACACTTTTACTCGCAGCACCGCTACGCGCGTTAGCATGCTAATGTTATTGTTGGAGCAGCTTGTCGGAGTAGCGGCAGGTGGCAATGCAGCTGTTTATACTGACTGACGTAAAAAAAAAACATCCCGTTTTCGCCATTGCTGAATCTAGTAAACACCTCTTCAGTTACATGCATGGTTAGCTTTAATGCGCAATGTTAATATAGAGATAGCATAGAGATTTTGTCATGCTTCTACTGTGAAAAGTCGGGGGAAGTAGTTTTGTAGCGGAATTGAGTTAAATGGTGTGCAAGGTGAGTATATGTTATTTAAACAATACAAGTGGACTTCTATTTTAAAACTGTAGATGGTTCCCATCAGAGAAGGTTTGTCTGTTCAAAAGGTTTGGAGTGGGGAGTTCTAAGCATTATAAACCTTCATGAAAGTCAATAAAGCTTAGAACTGAGAACAGAAATGCCTTTTTTTGTTTGTTGGTCTTATTGTTTTTGTTTACTTTTCTGGATTAATC